AACAACTCATTGGTACAGAACGATAACAACAACAACTTCCCCAATAAATGTCATTACTATGAATATAATTCTGTGAATTCTGTGTGCTCATTGCAACAAATTTAAAATCTAGTAAAACTGATCTTGGAGTCAGTAGAAGTAAGTACAAGAGTGTGAGAGATCATGATTGACCTTATAGCAATTAGTCTTAAACTGTGGAACTTTTTGATGGTGACAGTTCCCCCTTATGCAATTAATAGAAGTCAGACTCAGTCATACACAAGCTGCCTACACTCATTTTACACTGAGTACCATACAATTTAATTATCACATTAAAAGCTAAGAAATTAATAGCAGCATATGTGACTCTTGGATGATTCATTTTATTTATTTATTTTTTTCATTAAAAATCTTTTCAGGGTAATTCAGTGAGGACTAAATTGATTGAATTGAATTCTTTTGACTCAAATAAATTGGAAGTAGGTATAACTATAAATAGCGTCCACATATATCTATTTTTACCATTCAAAGAAATGAAAAATTCTTAGAGAAGTTCACTTAAATTGGTAGTTTGAGAATTTTAGCATGCATTATCTTTTTTTGGGTAACCTACCACAGGACCTGGTCTTCCAGTCAGACCCATTGGGCCAGGTGGGCCTCTCAGAGCAATCTAGAAAACAAAATTTTCAATTTTAGAATCAATGGGAATACATATAAAAACACAATAACTTGGCAAAAGTCAAACTTAATGCCTGATTAACACAGTCATAATAGCTACATGCTACAAAAGAGTGCCAGGTTACTAAAGATTTACAAGTTTCCAGAATAACAAAAGTCCTAAATAAGTAACAGTAATTTTCAAATAGCTGTAACTCATACATAATCTGTGTCGTGTAGTATATAATAAGCTCTAGTGGCTTAATCATAAAAGAGTTGTACTTCCAACACAAAGGAACGTGGCTCAAATCCACCAGCAGCTCTCTGGGAGAAAGACCGGCAAGCTCCTCCCATGTGATTAACTGCTGCTGAAAACATGGCAGAAGGCCAGCTATGAGTAAGTTCTCATAGGAACATCCAAAACAACAGTAACGACTCAATTACAAAACTTAAATTAGGTTTCAGAATAAGAAATAGTTTCTGATAATTTTACTGCTTAGAAGTGTTCTTCAGAATAATGTATGAATTTTTGCTCTTAAGCGCATAGCTTTAATTATGAACGAAAATAACTTTCAAATGAAAATTCAAATTCATTGCCTCCTGAATTGGTAGTAACACATAGCTGAACTTACAGTGGGTTTCTGGAAGCTCTAAATCCCATGGGAGAAGACTTCTCAATCTCTCTCCCTTGCAGTGGTAGTGGATCTGAACTAGGAGTTAGCCTAGCGGTTAGCTGAGCAAATTCTGAGGACTCTTTCACTGGAACTCCCTGAAAATATCTTTAGAGGTGACCAATTTAACATGTTGCAGATTTTCCCAGCAACATTTTAGGAAAAGTTATAATTAAAGGCATACAGTACAAAGCAAACTCATCAGAATGCTATAATATTTTTTTAACAAATATCATATTTAAGAGATTAAATACTGTATGCTGTTGTTGCTGTCAATTATCATCAAGTAAGAACCAACTTGTAGCTGATCCTATAATGGGTTTCCAAAGGCAATAAATCCAACAGAAGGAGATTGCCTATCTTTTTGTTATAGAGCAGCTAGTGAATTCAAACCACTTATCTTTGTAATGGCAGCACAATTCCTAACCACTAAGCCACCAGAGCTCCCTAATGATGCTAAACAGAAAATTTTATTTATTTTGCATACTTATTACTATGATTGCATGCCCTCTTGTTACACTGAATATTAGAAATGTGAAATTAGCAAACATAAAAAGCTGGATATTTTTCAGAACATAAGAAATGAAAATTTGATAGGTATTAAATTAGTATGGTGTGATATTTTAAAAATATTAGTGAATCTGAAAGATAAATATTGACATTTATCTTAACAATCATCAAAATAATAATGTTGTAGGAAATAACATGAATAATTATATTAGAAAAGTATACACAATGAAAGCAGTAGAATCCTCAAAGTACTATTACTGACTCACCATGAGATTTTGATAATATACTTCTTAATTCTTGAGATTAAATATCTGAAAAATTGGAATTATAATGCTTGCTACCTCTTTTTAAAGTAAGATAAGAAGACTAATAAACTAAGGAAGTCAATGGCCCATTAAAACATTTAAGCTTAAATAAAAAACCAAACCCACAGCCATTGAGTCCAATCAGACTTATAATAACACTTCATAGGATTTCCAAGGCTACAAATCTCCTAGGGAAAAGACTATTCTTTCTCCCAAAGAGCAGCTAGTGGATTCAAATTGCAGGCTTATGGCTGGCTTCACAGTCCAACACCTTACACACTCACCATGCTGCCAGGACTTAAGTTTAAATAAGTAACTTAAATTTCTTCAAAGTAAAATAACATTTAAGACAAGTTGTAGGATTCATTTAAAAATTAATTTAGATTACAAGGTGTAACAATATTCAACTATTTCACTATCTTTACACATGGTACAATATAAAATAATGGCATCTTTTCAGATTAGTGTATAAGAACTGTGTAAGTAAATACTGAGAATGAATTATAGCTCACGTTTATATACATAAATGTGTAATGATTAATTAAATTTTATTAAAGACTAAATTATATCAGTTAAGACATGAGTACCATATGCATATCAGTAACAAATTTGTATTGCTTTAGTTTTTACAAAGAACAATTTCTCTCGAATATATATAAATTGCATTGTGTCTATTTATAAAAATGTGTTTATATGTTCCATAAACCTATTTAAGAGGCTGAAAAAAATTATTATCAAGTCAATTTTAGTTCATGTGACACTTCAACAGGTTTTTGAGTTTGTAAATCTTAACAAGAAGAGACCAACAACATCTAAAACCCAACACCTAGCACTAGGCTGTTAAGGCTCCTTTTTATAAGTTGACAGATGTTGTAAATCTCAGTTTACAAAGAATTATAAACTGAAAATGAGTTAATATTTAATACTATCATTAAAATATTATAGAT